GATTTAAGCAATAGTTCCAGATATAGGTCATGGTAGCATGGTGGACAATCATAGTAGTACAAACTTCCAAACTTAAAATTTGTGACTCAGGACCGATCTGTTCTATCTCCATACTGATTACGATTCATCTGACTCAGCTGCCTCAAGTATTAGAAGTATTCAACAAGCCTTTTCAATTATGAGTGGTATACCCTAATTAACACAATCTTGCCATCAATATCACCATCAATCTCGCCATCAATCTCGCCAACAATCAAGCCAATCATCTAATTCTCAACAATCATCTTACTCTTGCTATGACTCACGTTTACCTCCATATAACGATAGAGATTGTTTAGTATCTAACTGGCTCACATCCATCATCATGACAATTACGATATAACGATAATAACGATAGAGATCGCTCACAATCTCTATGACATTCTAGTCTAGAAACACGAGGAAGATTATGTAAATGACAATCATCTAATAATCAAGATATATAATTAATAATCAAAACAATATATAACGATAAGTCTTTTTTTTTGTGTAACTAAAAATTAAGATTTTTCTCTTTTACTTTTTTTTTTATCTTTTTTTTTTTTTTTTTTTTTTTTGGTGTATCTTGTCCTTAAAGATCATGCCCGCACCCACCACCAGAAAGTAAATGGGCGACTTTTTACTCAAAACTAGCAGCGCTATATTATATTGAAGAGGCTAAGCGAAGATGTAAAGGAAATTAGAACTGAACTAAGACGCCAACATAGTGATGTGGAGAATGACCTTTCCCTAAAGGTTCTTGAGGTTAGTATTTACAATTAAAAAACTTGTTTGGATGTATTTCTTGTATTTTATCATGAAATATATATTAAAGTTTTTTTTGTAGGAAATTTTTACATGCATCACTAAACGTCTCTTCCCGTACCATATGTAATCCACCCAAGCTGTAATTAAGGAAACGTTTAAAGGTTACCTTGAAGAAAAGTTCACGGACTTTATGAGTAATTTAAGCGCCAATGAGTTTGCTAACTGTTTTTACGATCAATGGTTGAGTCTGGTAATATATATATATATATATTTTTATATCTATCGCTTATAATCGTTAATAATCATTTTCTAACTTTCTTAATTTATTACAACTTATATTATTTTGTTAGGTAATATCTTTTTTTTTATTGTATCTATATATTGCTTATGATTTGTTTTAGTTTTAATTTTCCAAATACTTGCAATTTACTATTATGTAGCTCCTGAAAAAATTAAGAATAATCTTAACACTGCTCTCCAAAATGTTAGGGCTGCAATTTGGAGTTTGTTTGGAATTGAGAGGTTGCCCCGGTTACAAAGCAATGCGGCTGCGGCCAATATCGTTAGATGGAAGGAAAGCTAGGAAGTAAACGCTTGTTACTATACTCTTTTTGAGCAAATAAAGATGGTGTCTTCTGGGTTTCTGTTATAGCAAGAACAGCATTTAGTATGATGGCTGTCTCCACTATGACGAGTAAGCACTGTGAATTTACCCTTGCAGTTTGCGACATTCTGCTTAATCCTCATTCATGAAACATATTGTGTAAGGAATCACGTATAAGACGTGAGATTGACCAATATTTGGTAAGTAATTGTATATTTTGTTTTTATAGGTAACAATATTAACATTTAATATATTTGATTAGAGCGATTTTGAAAGTGGCAGTGGTCTCTCTCATGAATTGGCCGATAACATATTAAATGATGAAAATAGGCATAACGAACTATCAAGAGAGGCCTTGCCTCAGCATACTGAAGCCAAAAGCGAATCTCCTGCCCCAAGAAGCCCGTTTATGTCTCAAAAAGAGATAGATGAATTGTTTGAACTCGATCTATAGTGTTATTTTCACATAATGTATATTTTTCATATATTGTTTTTTTTTCTTTTTTATTGTTTTTTTTTTCTTTGTATGTTATTTCTTGCATAATATTTTTTTTCTTACGTTGTATTTTTTTTTCTTTCATTGTTTAATATATTTGTATTATATGGGGGGGAGTCAGTAGAAATGGGACAAATCATTTTTAGTAAATTTTTTTTAATTTTTAAATTACAATTTCTTGACAACTACTTAACTAATTTTGATAAATTTTTTTTTATTTTAATTCTAGAATTACCTGAAATTAAAATAAAAAAAAAATTTATTAGATTTAATAAGATAGTTGACAAAATATTTAAATTTAAAGTTAAGAAAACTTTTACTTAGAAAAAATTTGTCCCATTTCTACTGACTCCCCCCCAATTAATTATTCAAAATTAGGATTACTTTTGAAGTATTACTACAAAGTTTGGTTCGGAGAAAATCCTAATTGCATTTTGGATGAATTTTATAATTTTTCTAAAAAGGTTTACCTGTTTGATGATGAGACTTGCAAACAATTTAATGATATAGTATGATATTGGAAGTTTGCTGTGCCTTCAACGAATAAATTAGAATTAGTTGTATGTCAATTATATAGGATTTGTATTAACACTGCTGCTGTTAAGTGCTTTTGGAGTTGTATGAGCTTTTTCCAAAACAATCAGAGAAATCGACTTATTGTAATTTTTTATTTTATTTTTGTTTTTATATAAATTTCATATTTAATATTAAATAAATTTTTATTTAGTCACAAAAGGCTCTTGATATGAGCAAATTAAAAGCTTCTATCACATGGGAGCATTCACGTAAATCAAACCCTGTTGAAATATTTCTGCCCAATTTTGAAAATGAAAATGAAACAATAAAAAATAATCAACCAAATATTTAACCAAATGAAGAATTAAGTAATAAGGTTCCAGAACCCGATGAATTTGTAGAACCTGCAGAACCTGATGAATTTGCAGAATCTGATGAATCTGCAGAACATGATGATCTTGCCTTGAATGAAAACTATGATGACAAGACCTCTTTGAAAGAATTTGGCCAATTTTTAGACATATGAGTCGAAGTATTGACAAGTGAAATTGAGGAAATTACACATACATATAATAAGAATATGATAATTACTTCGAAGGTTGAAGATATTGTTAATCTGACAATAAATTCACAATATAAATGGGATTTAAGAACCCTATT